AATTCTTCCAAGCTCGCCCAGTGTCGCGGGCCCGGTGCCGGCCTTGACTGAGGAAGTCGGCGTTGAGCTGCCTTCCTGGAGTGCCGCTTCGGGCAAAGAAAACGCATGGGGCTTGGGGAATCTTGGGGCCTGGAGCATTTCGGCTTAGCAGGGCTTTTGGTGTTCAGAGCTGCGAGTGGCGGAGGAAGGGGGTGGAGCACCGGGTATGGCTCTCGTGCTTCTTCCTTGCACTGAGGCTACAAAAGTACGACTCCACGGCTTCTGAAGCATGTTTTGGTGTGTCAAAGCTGGCGTCCTGTGATTCGTATGAATAGACTCAACCGCTAAACCATAAAGCAAACATGCACGATAAGCCGACCCCCGAATCGCTTGAAGACCAACCTCCGAAAACACGACAGGTCACGCGCATCTCCCCCGTTCCCGGGAACACCTGGCTTTCATTTTTAGTGGCCGCCCCTTCCTTTTTTGTCGCGGCGGCCTGTGCCGGACAGCTGCTACAGTGAAGGCCTACTGTGATGCTGTAACTAGAGATGACTCCATGGATGAGTATGTTATACTCATTTGGCATCTCCATCGAAGTGTATGTACACAAGCATCTGCTGCGTTTATCCGCCCTTGTGCGAAATACACGACCGCTCTCGCTCATGCCAGCACGTGCAGTTGGTGAGGTTCGCTTGGCGCACTTCTTCGGCTTCGACGCACCAGCAGCAGCAGCTTTACCCGGTGAGCGCCCTCAGCATCTTACAACACGATCAGAAGCATTGGCACTGCCGTCGCAATAGAGTTGTCATGTTGTGTGCCGAAGAGAGCCGTGGCTGCTATATGTGGTGAAATCCATGGCTTTCACTGCAGCACTGAGCCCCTGGCGCGAGGTCTTGCGCTCTTTGTATAGACCCATCTCAGGGGAGCAGTGGACTGGAGATGCGACAGCCCGGCAGTGAGAGTTTGAGAGGTGCCCTTGCAATTTTTCCCAGGACTCTTGTGACAGAGTTTCATGCTGTGCACAAGGTTGGCCTTGCCTTCGCGCTGGTCCTTTGTGAAGAGGCAGCCGGGTCCGTCCCAGCGAACAGAAACACCGTCCAAGGGAGGCACAGTAGGAGAATCCTCGGAAGCCGAATCTGGGAACACAGGAGGTTGTCATCTAGCCATGGTGTCGTTTATCTATTTCATTGGCTACTGGCTCTGTTCTCAGCGGTGCCCTTATCAAGCTCGCTCATGTTAGTACTGCCGATGTCGTTCGAGTTCAAAAAGAGCCTAGCCGTTTCACTATTACTTCTTGTCTTGCACTTTAGGCGGCGGTAGTAAAGCAAACTCGACGACCGGTAGACAACTGCAGCATGTATTGGACAACTGAAAAGCAGTCGCTGTGATCACAAGAGAATACAGGCGGCTGCACTTTCTACCACGACATTCACGCAACCTGCAGAGCGCCTGTAGGACAATGTATTTGGGTGCATGGTGTGTAGCTGATTTTCGCGCACCACCCTGATTGTGCCAAGCCCCTGTGTTTTGGCGTCTCACTCCACTGACGCGCCGCTTCGTTGTCAGCATGCACAAAAGATCCCCACAAGCGCGTGATGGGTATCTTCTGAGCCCACTCAGCTTTATCAAGCGTATAACCTTGCTTCATTGGTTCAGCCTCCCCCGGTGTGCAGTTGACGTTGACAGTCGCTCATCTAGTTTTCTGATCTATGCATCCAGGTATGCGCGATTCTTTTACTTAACTTTCTACTTGCTAGCTGGTGCGACTCTAGAATCAACTGAAGGGGTATCGAGCAAGCTTCAGCACTTATATGGGCATCAGAATCCCACAGTACCTTCTCAATGCACCTCCTGCAGAAAGCTACTGAGCCTGCTCTGCAGCCCTGCTGTCTTTCTGGTCTTGCCCCATGAACTGTAAGGTCTGCAGTCTCGATCTCCTGTTTCGTGCGTCGGGCACGCTTTTTGGCATCGAGTCCAGTCTTTAGATTTGGGGTTGCATTTGGAGGGGTGCCCGATCACTTCTGGTTTTTTTTGGGTTCACTTGTGTCTTTTTGGGGGGTCGCTTGTGTCTGTGTTTTCGGGGTCGCTTCTGTCTTTTTCCTTCTTCGGAAGCAACAGTCTCGAACGAGAGGTGCCTTGGTAGGACCTCACCCCGCTCAGTTTCAGGCTCGGTATACATAAAGTGCAAAGGCAATTAGCTTGCTCCCTTTCTGCGTCCACATGCACATAGACATGCATGCGTACTCTACGAGGGGGTGTCTAAACATGTGTAGATATTTATAATTTATTGTATATTACACATTGTACGCATCATATACATATACCTATATGTCCCATTTGGAGCTAGACCTGGCTTCCCTGAGAGGCCGACAGACCCACCAGGATGGCAGCTTCAAACCTTGTGAGCTTCAGCCATCGTTTGTCCTGGCAGGGCAAAGGCAACCGAGAACGCACCAGCGCAACATGACACGCAATTCTCTGACAATGGACCCATCTGAAACTGCCTGAGCATGTGCACCAAACAGGATGATGCGCGGGAGCAAGATTAGCGTATAGTACTACGACGTATTCAGCATTGCCTTTGGAGTCTTGCAGGTGTGGTTCAGATATTTTCAGGCTACTCGCCCTACTGTCCGCGCCGCTGTCACTGGAATCGATTGCACTCAAGCCTTCTCTGCCATCTGGTCGGAGCCAGCGGTCCATGTGCACGCGGCAGCTACAAGTCCAGTGTCTACTGCCTCTCGGGGTTGCACCATGCAACGGGAAAGGAAAATTCGCTGCAAATGCTGAATGCATTCGGGAAGTAAACAAGTAACTGCTCGTGCGCTTGCGCTAGCGCTTCGAGGCCTTAGCATGAACCTATAGTGGCACAACTCAACGGGGCCATGTTCATGTCCGGCCAAGCAGCCAAAACACGCATGGCACGACGACAACAACCACAACCACATACAACAACAAGAAGTAGTAGCAGCAGTACCCGTAGTAGCCATGGGCCATAGTAATAGTAGCCGCAGGAGCCATAGGAGCCGTAGGAGCCGTAGTAGCGGTAGTAGTAGTAGTAGTAGTAGTAGTAGTAGTAGTAGTAGTAGTAGTAGTAGTAGAAGTAGTAGTACTAGTCGTCGTCGTAGTAGTAGTCGTAGTAGTAGTCGTAGTAGTAGTCGTCGTCGTGGTGGTGGTGGTAGTAGTGGTAGTCGTCGTAGTAGTAGTAGTAGTAGTCGTCGTCGTCGTCGTCGTCGTACCACAACGACTACTACTACTACGACGACGACTACTACTACTAGCACTACTACTACTACTACTACTACTACTACTACTACTACTACTACTACTACTACTACTACTACTACTACTACTGCTACTACTACTACGACCACTACGACTACTACTAGGTAAAGGCCTGCCAGCACTTTGGGCATTTCGAGCATTTGGAAAGCCTCAGTCAACGCATTGGAACGGAGCGTTCCGGAGGACGCGGCCGCACCGAACTGTGCAGAGGATGGGACTTGAGCACAAACTATGAGGAGGGCAAAATAAACCGCATGCGCCTATGCAGACACCTCACGTGAACACTGACCGATACCTCCTTACACCTGCCCTAACGTCAGAACCCCAACGTGCTGGCACACACACACACACACACTGCCTTTGGAAAAGCGGAGACACTGCACAAGCAGACTTAAGCACAGAATCCCAGGGGCTGCAGACATATGTAATTCCATCTTAGGCCCTCGTGATTCATGACAAAAGCTGGGGCCTGCGACATGATGCACACGCAGCAATCATTTCGGACAGAAGCTACAAGAACCACCGAGCATCTATCTAGGACATGAGCCAGCTGGTTGATGAGAGTGTCGGCTGGGGGGGGGGGGTGCCGCTAATCGGTCTGTTCCACGGGACGATCCACCGTTCCACACGTTCCACTCGTTCCACTCGCTCCGACCGTTCCACTCGCTCCACTCGTCCCGCGACTTGTTCCACTCACTACACTCGCCCCGTGCCTTACCTGTTCCACTCATTCCTTTCGTCGGCGCGAGTGACGCGAGTAGAGCGAGTGGAACCACTGGCTCGAGTGGAACGAGTGGCGCGAGTGGCACTGGTGGCACGAGTGGTGCCAGTGGCACGAGTGGTGCGAGCGGCACGAGTGGCACGGACAACTTGAATTTCCCCGCGCAGTCAGAATGTAACACGGCTTCTTGGACTTCATACCTCCCACGCGAAGCTCCCCAGTTAGAAGAAGCAAGGGATCGATATCCACATGTGACTCGGGACGTAGGGAAAGCGCCTTGCACGACGCCACTTTGTGTGTATGTTGATAATTCCAAAACATCCTGAAAAACTAGGGCACACAGAAGAGTTGAACAGCTGGCGAGAAAAGCTTGCTTGTAGCAGTGCGGGTCTCTGTAAATGATGCACCTGCTTCTTTGGGAGTCAAGAGCACGCGTGACAGCAGCAAAGAATCGTGCTTCACTGCCCAGCGCCGCATGGAACTCGCACCTGGCACTTCGTGAGCAACCAGAATCTCAGCCTGCTCCATGGTGCAATGCACACTACGCACAAGCCATCATGACACAGCAAGATCATGCACCACCATCCCAACATTGTCTCCTCTTGGCCACTGCTTGCTGCATTCCATCACAACATGGATGTTTAGCCTGGGCATGTCACGAATTAATTGAATTGCTTCGTGGCCTGGTTAGTGTTAACAGGTACGTGGCAGCTGCAGAACGTTCACTCTTGTTGGGCAGGATTTCGGCAATGTCTTGGTAAGCGCTCGAGCCTGGCACAATTGGCCTGTCACGACCGCTATGCTATCCAAAAGTATATGTCAAGTCTCCACATGGTTGAGCCGCCGGGGGGGAAACACGGCCGGCTTCTGACTTCTCATCACCAAGACCTTTAAGATGCTAATTCCATGGCTCAGCATGCGACGGAGACAAACAACGAGGCGCTGCCACAATGCTGTGGCGCAGCCAGGATGGCGCGTGTCGCCGCAAAGCGATTGTCAAGCACTGAAAGATCTACTTTTTTGCGAGGAAGGCCTTCAGATCACCTTCCGTATCGCCCATGTAAATGAATCCGATCTCATCCCCCTCCTTGTAGCCACAGTCTGCTACCAGGTGCGACAGGTTCAGCTGGGCGTCCTCGCCGACACGCTCACCCATCTTCCCTCGGGCCATAATCATGCTGGACTCCTTCAAGCCGGTGATGCTGCACAGGAGCTTCCGGACCTGTCCTGCAAGAGGCACCAAGAAAACACTCACTCTACTAGTCTAGAGCAAGGACAGTTTCCTGATCCGGCCTACAGTCCAGTCGTTCTTGATGTCAAGGTCTGTCAGCTTCACGCCCTCTTCAAGGGGGCTCATGACCACGAGCCTCATCGGCACGCCTTCCGAGTGCTCGAAGGCACAATCGTCGCCATTTCGGAAGCCGGCCTCGCCGATATTCGTTTCCGGGGTAAGTTGGCTACCATCCTTTGACAGCACCGTGATACTCTCGGACTTGGCAATCTTGAACAACATCCCCAGGATGACCCGTACCTCTGCGATGGTAGTCTTCGACAGCACGAGAAACTCCTTGTCAAGGCTCCCCTCGTCCCAGGCTTTCACTTCCGATCCCGGCTTGGGCTTGGCCTTCAGAAGGAGGATCGGCCCGTCTTCTTTCGATGCTTTCTGCAGACACGGGCCCGGTGTTCCGAAGCCGCTGGCATCGATCATCACGTAGCCGGGCTTCTCGCCGGCACCGGAGTCGCCCGAGCTCATGTCCAGCTCTGCCCAATAGCCACCACCTGAACCTCTCCAGACCTTCCCCGTGGTGTGCACCACGGACCCCACGCTGCGCTTTAGCTTGGTGATCGAGGCCTTCTCAGGATCCGTCCCCAGCTTCTTGAAGAGGATTCCTAAGGTCACATAGTAATCGCCCTCTCGGAGATCGCCCACATCCTTCACGTCCGGCTTGGCCTTCTCACCAACGCGCTGGAGCAAGGGCTTGTCCTTGAGGGAGAGGCTAACCCAGCCCTCTGCCGGGCCGGTACCCGAGACGAGCTTGTAGTGCAGCCTTTCGCCCACGAGATCCAGCTCCTCAACACGGAACCATCGCAAAACCTCCTCAACACCTCATCTCAGACCCAACCTGTCCATGTTACGGTCATGTGTAGGTCTTGGCAGCCGTGCATCCGTTACTTCTCGATGGAAAGGTGTTGCCTGAAGCCATTAGATCCCAAAAGAACCGAAAGCACCGAAATGCCATGAAGCACCGTCCACAAGAACTGGACGAAACGAACACCGAAGAGGAAGCGACACCAGGAAAAGTCCAAAACTCTTGGAACGGCTCGAGACCACACCAACATCCCGGAACAGCCGAGAACTTTCGTCGCTGCCAGGACTTTAAACACGTTTAGCCGTTGCATCGGGAGCACCAAACGGGAGAAGGATCGCGGGTTCCGCTCCAAGATTATCCAAAATCCGGAATTGGAAGGTCGGAGAAGAACCTGAAGCTGCTCTTCCCCAAACCCCCGTTGTGGTACCGCTGTGCGTGTGTCAAGAAAGAGAAGTGTCGGCTTGCGTGAAGGGAGCAGTCCTCCACCCGAGCCCCGGTGCTGAGACGCTCCGAAAGCTGGTCGCTGCTAGTGGCCTGGCCGCTTCGGACCAGGATGCCACCCTTGTCCCCGCCACCGACCACCTCCCAGGCCATGGCCAGGAGCAGGGACGCGGGATGCCCTTTTCGAAGTCTGCTTGTGTGTCAGCTGTGATGGTGCTGGTGCTGCTTCACTGTGACGAGGCTTCAAGGTGTGAAAATCTCATCCTTTCCAATCCACAGTCAACCCTTGAGCAAAAGGCGGACTCGGCAGTCTGGCAGCCTGGCAGTGACAGACGTGACGCGAGCCCGGCCTCTGCTGCGGAACTGCTGTGACCAGAGCAAGCGAACACCACTCCGTCTGCAAGCACAAGGTTTCGAGGGCTCAAAAGCTCAGTGGCTTCGCATCTTCCAGCTCTGTGGCCTTGGATGGCGCTCTTTGCTCAGGTTCTTTCGAAGACGCAGAACGTCTCAAGATGGTCCTGCAGGGTTTGGGCGCATTCTGCCAGTCTGTCGGCAAAACGGCATAAGAGGCATCCCAAACAAGGAGTCACGACCGGTCCGAACCGGGGAAAAGCACGAAGCCCTCGGCGTGGAGAACCTTTTCGGCATCCGACTGCAGACTTGCAATCAGTGCGATTACATCACTCGAAACCCCAGTAGGAATCTGGCCGTCCAGCCATGCTGAATCAGCTTCTCAGCATCGCGGCAAAAGGCTGGAAATCCGCAACTGACCTGGGCCAAAGCCCAGTTCAGTTTGCGCCCCTCTGCTCCAACTGAATTTCGATCTGCCACGAATCACTGCAAGTGGTCAACTTAGAGTGAGACGTAGATGAGACGGCACGGCTTCACCAACTTTCTCTTTGGCCTTAACTTGCAAAGCAGAGAAGGTTTGCAGCCCCGAGGCCTCTGAGGACCTTAAATTTCTGAGCCTAGCACCGTCGCACGAGAGCATCTAACACCTCGTCCTCCATGCCCCTGTCAGGAGGATTCAAGATTTGCAGCAAGCTTTGCTGTTTCCTTCCCTTCTCAGGGTAGCACTTTCGGGGAGGGTCGACAATGACAACGTCAGCCGTTGGAATGCTGTCAACCTGACCGTGTTGAGCTCTCCCACGAACCGTGTTTAACGGCACTTGCTGGGCAAGGTGACATGCGTGCTGTGAAGGACCTACCAACACTTCCACAACTCTGAATCAAGCAAGTCCAACGTCCCGAACTGTCTTGCAAACACCACTCCTGCGAGGCTGCATCGCCTGATACGTAGCTGAGTTTCCGCCTGGGCTGCATGCCATTTGGGTCATCGATAGTTGCAGGATGCGAAAGGCCACGGGGAGACAGGAAAGCTGTTCCCTTTTCAATCTGGAGGTCATTGCGTCTTGCTCCGCCCATGGATCATGCACAGCATCTCTCTTGCGCTGGCGGTGGAGTGAGAGTTCAGCCGTTCCACCCGCAGGCTCGATGCCAGTAATTCATCTCGTGCCAAAAGCTGGCACCACAACTACTGTAGGTCAAAGTCGAGAAGGCTTTCAGCCTTGCCAAAGGAGATTGCCAGTTACAGAAATCCGACTTGCCAGAAGGGAAGAATCCCGAGCCGAAGGATGCAAAGCACCCCTCAAGTCAAAGACTTGCGGCGAGTGCGTTACGTTTGGGTACATGTCCACCAGAATTGTTGATTTCGGCGGATGATCGTGATGCTCCAACTGCGCACATAGAGGGTCACCCATAACACCACCAGAGCGAAGTCAAGAATGAGGACAGCATCGGCAGAAAGAACGCGTACCGCCTTGGAGGAAGCATCTCAGGACTTGACCTCAAATCTCAATGACTTAACATGCTTCTCTTACACTCATGTAAGCGCCCACGAAGGTAGCGAATCACCGCGGTGCCTGCACCTCTGCGCCCAGCGCACATCCTCCTGCCCGTTCCCACTACATCTTGGGCTCAAAGTCTGAATGCCGTTTGAGTCGAGACCCATCAATATCTTCAGGGTGAGAAAAAGCGGCAGAAGGCTGTCCTTGGCAACTGCCAGAGTCTCGGCGGCCTTGCGGCTCGCAAGGCGCAGCCGGGCCTCGGTGAAGCTCCAACGGCCGGTTGCGGCTCACATCGGCTCACGCCTCAACCGGAGGCTCCGGAGGCGGTAATGTGGCGAAATCGGACTAATGCTCAGCCGGAAGGCTGCTTCCTGCTGCAGCGCCACGGCTCGTGAGCGAAAGAATTCGTTGCGAAGCTCCGTACTCGAGGCCTTCGGGAACAGGAGACAGTTCACACCCTGGATAACGGGAACCAGCTCCGCGTGTTCGTCGCTGCCGCAAGTTTGGCGACGTCAGTTCGATGACGACGTGACATGACATGATATGACATGACCATCACTGCTCCTCAGTGGCCCACCAGTAACAGACACCAAGGCTTGCACCGCCAACCCCCCTCTCGTGATTATTGCCATCGTCGTCATCCAAAGTGGCGCTGTATTGCTCACTCCCCGGCCTCCTTGCGAAGCTCGTCCGCGCGGCCCTGGCGGAATTGGATCAGATCCTTCGCGCGAGCGTGTGTCGCTTGAACCTCTCTACGCTTTGCTGCAGGGGGCAGAATGCGGCAGAGCACCTCCCAGCGCCGGGATCCTTCCTGAAGCTTGCGCAGGCGGCGAGACCTCAGACGTCTTCATGCAGGCTGCGGACTGCCAGGTGCCAGCCTTCTGCTTAGTGCATCATAGCGCATCTAAGGCCTCTAAGGCCGCGGCAGCACAAGGTCGATCGGCAAGGAGTCCCCATCGGCAGCATGCACGGCTCTAGCCTCAGACCTTGGATGTTAACACTACGTGCTACCTTGCTACTGCTTGCACAGACCAGTCCACCCCTGCGCTTACAACGCCTCATGCAGAACGAAACCACAACCACGGCCGAGCCACTCTGCTCGCTCAAGCGCTTGCTTCAATCGCTCGACTTCCTCGGTGAGGTTCTGCTCCTTCCGCTCACAGTACGCCCACACATCGAAGCACAATCTCTGGCTCTGTCGAGCGAATGCATCTATGCTCAAACAGACTGTGCATCCTCTCGGGTCAATCTGCGTACTTCTTCCGCCATCATGCCGCACTCGGCAATCTTCGAACCACCCTGAGCTTCACGGATCCGCCACGAAAACATACCCAATTAAAATGATGTGCTCTGAAGCTGCATTGAACCCGGCGACGGTGATGCGAAGCAACTGCAGGTCGTGCTTTTGACCTTGCAGCTTCCAGGCCAGCTCTCGCAGCTGCTCCCTGCACCAAGCCACATTTTCCTCACAAGGGATGCTTGTGACTGCTTGTGCTAGCAAGTGGTGGCTTGGGCTCTTTAGGAAAAGCTTGCCCTGTGGGTCCTTGCTTGAATTGATCTTGCTCATGAGCTCGCGGGAGACCTGAAATGCTCGAATTTCCTGTGTTGCCAAGCAACTGCCAAGCTCCGCCACTGCTGCCACGATGCCGGGTCGTCGAAGTGAGAGCCTGGAGGAAAGTTCCCAGCTGCGAATCTCCGGTCGCAAGAGCAATACGTCATTCCCTGCTAGGACTCGAGGATGGCTGGTGTCGGAACGCTACACGACTCGAGCCAAGCCAGGACATCAGGCAACGACTCAGCTCATGCTCACGAGGCTCCTTAAGCAAGAGATGGGTGCAAAGGTCCGAGAGGCTGCAGGTCCGGTGGCAAGCTCCTCACGCCTAAGGCTGAACTCGGCTGCACACCGAAAACACTTCAATTCAGCTGGGCAGCACACTGCGACGGAAGCATGCACGGTTGAATGGGTTCTCGTCGCTGCAAACCAAAGAACCTGCCCATTCAATGCACTTGACTGCAGTCACGTGTGCAGCCAATCGCAAAGGAGCAATGCCATGCCAGTTCGTCCAGCTACATCCGCCAGGTGAAGACCTCAATTTGGGACACACAAAACCCAAATGTGCACGGGCCAACTGGTATGTCATCCACAGCACATTTCTGAGGTGTGGGGCCGATTGTACCCACGCCAGCATAAAGCTCCTGGGCAAAGACCCACATGAACCTAGACACAGGCTGCAGTTGCCGAAGCCAACGTGCAGTTTGCAACCCAAGTCTCCACCACAGCACTGCCAAACGGAACAAAGCGCCGAACCGCCGAAACGATCCGCTCAAAGGCACAAAGATTCGCCTGGCCTCAAGGGCACATGTAGGTATCTTTCAGCGAAATTCACAATGCAGGATGCCATAGAAGCGGTAAAAGTGTGAAGCTCACTGTGAACTATGACTGGTCTGTCATCTCGTTTCACCATCGGTACCATGATCGTCCAGTACAAGTTTCGTGTCTTACGCGTGCATGACATGCCACACGACCCTGCCGCCTGCCGCAAGGAAAATCAACGAGATGTGCCCTTCGAGCTTCGCTCAAGCTTTCTGTTCCATCAAAGTCACGGAAGACGAAGGGTGGAAAGCACAGCTCGCAGTGATAGGGCACAGCACTCCTGGCAGACACATTGCCATCATCTCGAGCCTATACGCTAACAACGAAAACCCCTCGTGCTCCATGAACGCCCGTTTCAGGTGTGCAGTGAGAGCTTTGCGGGGACCTCTGCAGCGCCTCCCGCAGCCAGCGCTTGCGCCCGGCCAGTTGAACCCAGGCCTCTGGGCAAAAGACCCTTGAATTATATAGATTGCAAGAAGAAACCGCAGTTGCAAACATCGTAAACTACCTGTGCTGGTACTGCGTTGCGCTAGACAAGAGCTTCCGAAACCATGGCCAGTTGACTTCTCATCTTGGGCAGCGCTGCACGGACTGCAGAATTTTGAAAGAAGACGTCCGGACCTCCTTTTCAAAGGCCAGAATGCGGGAAGTATGCTTGTCTGCAGCATGGAAGTTTGCCCAGATCGAATACCACCTCGGCTGAATGGAGTGGCTGTACTCAGCACGAGATATCTAAGCAGGCCGGGTACATGGTATCCAAGGTGGAAATTGGTTGAGGTTCACGTGGAGTACGACGAGGTGTGGTCGTGCAAGAGACGATTCTTACTGAGCACTTCACGAGAACCACACTACACCATGAAATTTGGCTGTTGCCGTAGCTGCCTCTATTAGTGGTCATTATCATTCGTGCTACTGAATACTGTTGTTCTTGTTCTATAGCACCTGATGTCGGATGACCGTTTCGATGATGTCTGCCTTGAAAGTCCTGCCCGGGTATCAACGCCATGATCTGCACTCTCATCCACAAACTCGTCACTCATCACTGGCACAACTAGCAACAAGAACAACAGCAGCAGCAGCAGCACAGAAGTCACAGCTGTTGTTGATACTTCTATGGGTGTGGAAAAACACGGCGGTGGTGGTGGTGATGATGGTGCAGCACGTGTACTGCTAAAATGATGATGATGATGGTGATGACGGTGATGGTGATGACGGTGATGACGGTGACGATGATTGTGATGATGGTGTTGATTGTGATGCTTACGAGCGACAGGCTTGGTACTATGAAGCGTGCTGGTGGTGATGGTACAGCTGTTCCACAATGTGATGAGATGGATAATGCCGACTGTGATGATCATGGTGATTATGAAGGTAGTGATGATGGTGGTGGTGATGACGATGATAACAGGTGCTCATGGTGACGATGACAATGACCAAAATCACATACACACACATACATACACACATTCACATACTTTCGCACTTTCCGCGTAGCAGAGTTCGATGCTCGGCTGTCGCTAATGGAGGACAGGCGTATAGCCCGGCTGCGCTGTGTATTTAACACATCCTCCCCCACACCAAAAGTTCGGTAACCCCAGAGAGCAACTCGAGCCCTCGGCACTAATGCCCTTGAGCAGGGCCGGTCACAGGACGTGCAGTATAAATAAGGATATAAACAGCAGAAGAGAAAGAGTCGATAGTAGAGTCATCAACACGAGTAGCCCTAACAGCATCATCAGTCAACCAGAAACTGGAATTGTACCAATCATAGAGTAGTGTCCTATAGTGACCGTGAGTTGGGGCTTCGCCCAAATGCAGCACCACTGAGTTGAGGTGCAGATGCACACTACGACAATGCAGGCCTCGTTCAAACACCGGAAAATGAATCTCAGCACTCGGTCTAACCCTATAGCGACGCTTCAGAGGCCTTCCCGATTGGCTGTCGTAGTGAAAACGGCTAACCTGCAAAATGATTGCCTGCGGAGGCGGCCAAGCAGCAAAAACCTCATCTTGATTGTGCCACGCTTGCACAAGATCCTGAACCGTATAGGCATCCCCACTATCAAGACCAACATCACAAGGAGGCACAAGAGTTAAGGGAGTGGAGTATCCAAGATCCTGAATAAGGTGATTGCCCGCCGCAGCCGCAGATCTGGCTTGCCAGGAAAGTGCTACTTTATCAAAATTGAAGAACGGACACTTGGTCAGAAAGGCGAGGAACTCCGCCACATCGTGTTGTCGGGTGGGGTGTGCCCACCCTTTCATCAAGGAAAGCCACTCCCCTTGCTCCCACAGGTGGAAGATTTGTCCTGCAGATTGAAGGATGGCGCCAACCACTCGTGCAGCATCCCCACTGAAGAGTGATTGTCCCTCCATGCTGCAATCAAGATAAAGCAGGCTCATCATCAGCGCATTCGCATAGCAGAAGCAATGCTTATTCCCCAGCTGGACACTCTTCACTGTGTCAATGTGGAGAGGCGTTTGGCCAAAGCACTCATCTGTAGGCGCTCGTGCCTCAGGAAACATCCTCCTGAGGCCCAAACCGCTGACCGCTCCAGTAGGTGTAGCATCCGCCACGTTGACTGGGCAGCTTCGGTCCGCATCCCCACCTCTAGGAACATGGTGATCACCGGCGACTGATACTCCGCCGCCAATTGGCGGGTGGCATGGAACCGCTGGATGACAAGCTGTTGGGGGGCACACGTCAGGAGCTCGTCCAATGCCTCCTCGATCTCCACGACATCCATGCTCGCGATGGTCTCGTCCTGGACGTGTGCCTGCTGCGTGGTATCCCACTTGAGGCCGTGGACTTTCCGGCCACAGCTGGATACCCATCCCAGGCTCTCGGCCTTGGATCGTGAGGAGGGTGTCCGCATCATCGCCTGGAACCGTTCCTTGATTGTCTGGACGAAGTGCTGGTATAGCGTGACCCGCATGGGATGTCGCAGGGCAGTGGGATTGTCCCGCTTGGTGTCGTGCCACGTCTTGCCGATCTGGTACATCGACTGGGCCAGGTTGTCCGGCACCTGAGTCTGGACAAACACCATGAACCCGGTGTCCTGCCTTTGGATGTTCTGCTGCACCTCCTGGCGGATCACGAGGGTGGAGACCATATTCAGGACATTCTTGATCTCCTGGAGCTCCGCCCGCGACAACTCCATCTTGTCCCCGTCCGTCTGCCACCAGCGGTTGCCCGATGACGCCTGAGGATTGCCGTTGTTTTTCCAGGAGCTGTTGGAGCGTGAGGCTGGGCCGAACTGGGAGTTCCTGCCCTTTCCTTTTTGGCCGCCCTTTTGGCCGCCCTTTTGGTCGGGCTTGTGCCACTTGGGCTGACGTCCCTCCGGCTTGTCCCGTCGGCTGGGCATGTCCTTGTCCTCCGGGTCGGTCTCCATGTTCCACTCCATTGGCCGTCGCTCCTGAGACCCCTGAGGCCCCATTGCCCCCATCCCTGATTGCTGGCTCACAAGGTTTCGTAGAAGGCTCAGCTCGTGGGTGGCTGCCGTCAGTTCCGAGGGGATGGCCTGCTCGGGCCGCATCAGCATGTTGTCGAACATGGCAGTGCAAAGCCTCCGGTCGGACGTCCGAGATGGCGAGTGACTTGCCTCTGGCCAGTCTGCGGTGCAAATAGACACCATTAAACACTCCAATGCAAGCCCTCAGATGTGCATCCTTTCTACGAAACGATTGTCCACAGAACTGACATGGATTGGACAAGCTGAGCTTACTGGCCACGATTTCCTTGATGCAGCTCTCAACGATCTCCTGGTACTCCGGGTGCCGCTGTTTCATATGTCTGCGCACATACTGTGGAGAGGTGCTCCAGTGGTGGCATTCTAAGCAGTGGTGGTGTTTGCTTTGCACACAAGGAAGTAGGGCCAACTCTTGCCAAGTACAGTCCACCGACTTAGCAAGCACCACTGGTGACGCGATCAATGCCTCCGTGATCTCTGGCAAGACACTAGCATGAGCCTCTGGGTTTTGGGACAAGGCTCTGAGGGCAGCACAGCTCTTAGAGTTGATGTGATAATGGAAGGCATGCCACGTGCTGAAAGCGTGCAGGCAATGCTTGCATTTAGGCATTCCGTCAAGGGCATGTGCCATTTCCGCACCCTTGATGGACTCCTTGACTTCCGCAGACCTATCCAGTTGTTGCTGTTGACTAAGATGCGTTAGAAACACATGCCGGCGGAGAGCAGCTTGAGTGGCAAACTCCTGTCCACAATCGTCACACTTGAAGATCTCGGAGAGTACTTCCTGAACCTCTTCAAGTCGGGCCGCGGGGGTAGTAGTTGGGGCGGAGGCAATTGTGTCAGGTAGTGCCCACTCATTCCGTCCATCAAAGAGGTGCCCTCTCACAATGGTCCGCCACTGCAGTTGACCTGGGCCAGGGGCCAGGACCGGGGAGAGGGTTTCATCCAGGGTCACACGCTGCATAAGCGCATTCTGAAGTCGCTGCACTGGGTCCGGGAGACGGAGTCGCCGAATGAAGGCCTGGTTGGTCTCCTTTGTCAGCATGCTGTGAGATTTTGCAATAGCTCGGGCCTGCTTGATGAGCTGTGTCTGTAGAGTTTGGAGCTCCTTCTGAGGGAGGCCCGTGCAGTCCAGGGCGTGGAAGAGAGCCGGCCATACGCATCCCTGCCAAAGTTGCAGACGAAGTCGTAGGGGCACTCCACGGTTGCGAAGTATCACCCCCAGCCTGGAAAAGGTGCATCTTGCCAAAGATAATCTGTGCTTGAAGGTGTCCTGTTCAAAGTGTCGAAAGCCGACCACCGCCCCCAAGTACACATGCTTAGGCACAATCTTGAGGTACAGAGTTTGATCAGCAATGACAAAACGGAAGCACTTGCCTTGGGGCCGCTCGACTGTATATCGGGCCAAAGCTCTGGCAGCTTGGGCACCCTGCAGCTCCAGGATTACTACTGTTTTGTCCTGACTGATGAGCATACCAGCATTGAGGAGGCAGGCCAGGACATGTTTCATTCCAGCATAGGCAACCTCGAGGTCTTTGCCTTCGCGAATGGTCCATCGATAGTGCTGGTCGTCTGCGTAGCTTGTGTTTGTCTCATGGACATTCAAGAGCTGAGGGTCATGCATCCGCTTGAGCAGCCAGCCCGAAAAGATTGCCCACAACGTGGGCGACAAGCTGCAACCTTGTCGCAGCCCTCTTTTAAGAGAGACCGTTTGCTTCAACCCACAGTGTTGCAGGGCCAATTTCGCTGAGTGGTGAACCAGCATGGTGAGCTGTATAAGTGGTTCCGGGATGGCGGCATCGATCAGGGCCAGCCTCAGCAAGGGCCATTGAACCAGATCATATGCCGACGTCAGATCTAAGGACAATTGACATCCTCCATAGAGGCTCAGGCTGGTCCGGCCCGAACGCTTGTTGTGAATGTTGCGGGTGTTGCCCTGCACGAGTCCTCTGACCTGAGCACAGTGTCCAAGTACTCGTTCGAGTGCTTGTTGTAAGGTACGTCCCTCCACATAGGCGAACTGTGGAAGTGAAGCAAGGTATGCCTTGGCAGGTTCCTTGAGTCGCTGTGCCACAATCGAGGCCAGGATCTTGGCCTCAGGAGCCAAAAGCGAAATTGGTCGAAGGTGGGCAGGAGACTTCAATGGTTTGCCTGGTTTAGGCAATAGCACCAGTTCACATAGGGTCCAGGCTTCGGGGAGGTTGCTGACGCCAGGCCGGAGGTG